CCCACTAAATGGGAGTGGCAGTGAGATAGAACAATTAACCGCTCCATATTCGAAAATGATTAGCTTTATCGACGGCCTTAGCAAATTTATTAAAACAGGCTCGTAGGTAGAAAGAGAGAATCGCTATCGCATTAAACAAAAATTTGTCGCTATCGTAATAATTAATGGTAATCGCTCTTAATGATAGTAAATTTTTGCTATCGCTCTTAACGAGATTTGTTCTACTAAAGTGATTGTTAAACTAGAGTAACTAGAAGAGAGAGAGAGAGAGAGAGAGAGAAAGAGAGAGAGAGAGGTAAATTTGTACAGTTCGTTATTTCAATAAATTTATCCTCTCTCGAAAACCTATCGTACGAAACTCGAATGTGCATTGCATAAACATATGAGACTGCATATGTATATGTATAACATGTATTAAAATATATGTAATATATTATGATATACATTTAATATATACAGTTCGCGACAATATCATAAAATACTATGTAAAATCACACAAACTTTATAAGACAGAAGTTTTTTCAATCTGTATATACATAAAGTTATTGCTTACTCCAAGATACGTTATTTCACGCAGAATTATTCTTTAAAATTTCAACATTTATAACATAACAATATATACATTATTGAAAATAAAATATCTCTCACAAACTTTTTCAATCATCCAAATGTTTGGCAAACATACCTCTTACTGACCACAACAAAACTACAAAGACACATCATATTTTTTACAAGCAATCAATCAAGCATGAAACTTTATTTTTACCTTATTATTAGTGTTTAATGCCATCCTTTATTTTCTACAACATTCTTGAACATTACTTTCGAGAAAAATTTATACAAACTGTTTGTTGTTCTTTGTATTATATATTTTCATTTCCTATCCAAGCATGTTTCCGGCTTTTCAATGCTGTGAAATCGGATATACTTCAGCTAGTATTTCCGAGCAATTTTCAATTTATATTTTAGGTTTGAAGATCTCGTAGATCATGGCAAAGCATCAATTTATTGATTCTTTAGTATTTCTGTAATATACTGAAGTTATCATATCTCGATATTCACGTCATTTTTGTTGAAATAAATTTATTATCTATTTTTCGGAGGTATCTTGTTGCCAACCAAACCATAATACTTGTCGCCACTGTAGTGTGATTTCTTCCTTTTTTTAAATCATAAAAATAATATAAATAGGCTGAACTGCCTGATTTGAAATTTTTTTCGGCTAAAAAAAACTTCTTCTATTTCTTACGCCGTACAGTTCGTTTACAAATTCTTGTCTTGCTATCGTGATTTCTGGTGATTTTTATTAACATCTTGCTTCCTCGTTATCTCAGAAATTTTTGTTATCCTTCGAATCTTCTTAACACCAACTCTTATTTCAATTTCTGTTATCATTTCCTTCGCAGTTAGTGTTTAATTGAACGCATGCTTTAAAATCGATCATTTCTTTTTCTAATTTGCTGTTTTCGAACAATGACACAGAGATGTTTTTTTAACGTAATTTTCAATATTTTGTAAACAATTATACACATCGATTTCCTCCTAATAATATCTCGAAATTTTTTTTATAACAGAATAATTTTTATCCCTTCAGGAATTTAAAATTCTTAGATTAATTTTGTTTAATTTTTTTTTGTAAGATATTCAAATTTCTTTTAAATGTAAACAAACTACTTTCTTTCAAACATTTTACGTTTTAACATCAACTATTCGATAAAGAAATTTTTCCTTTTAAAACGATAATTCTGCGCGAAGAAAATGTATCTTGATGTAAGCAACAGCCATATGTATGCACGTAGGAAAAATTCTTTCTTATAATGTAAGTTTGTGTGAGTTTGCATAGTGTCGTGGAATGTATAATATATAATAAAAAAAAAATATATATATATATATATATAATTTTATAATAAAATTTTTCTATTTAAATTACTTTCACTGGTTCCTCCACAGTGGTTTCTGGCAACATGTTCTCAGTGACGCTGGTAGTTTCATCATCCTCCCAGGTTTTCACCTTTGCTTCAGCCTTCAGTTTCGGCTTCATCTTACATTGCAATTTCATTTCTTGACATAATTTTGCCTTCTCCGCGATAATGGAACTGATTACACTCTTATTGTGCATAGGAGTTTGCTTCGCGTTTTTTGATTTCGACTTCGATTTCGATTTCGATTTCGATCTCGATTTCGGCGGTTTGTGACTCTTGGATGAGGATTTCATGGAAGATAACGCAGACTTGAACGGTAGTGGTGTATAACCAGTTTTTCCCACATACTGTTGAACAAGATAATATTATACCTCATGAGTGATAAACGTGATAAAACTGTGTATTGAAGTATAATGATTGTGTACTAAGGCTAAAATAAACGATTTTGTAACTATATTTAACGTAACAAAAATATAATATAATTAATCTGTTAAAGCGAAAATAAAAATTTCTGTACCACATTTTGACGCAATAAAAATATAATATAATTAATTTTCCTTCTTTATATTGTATATCTTTATATATCTTTTTTTTTTATAGACATTGTAGAAACTAGTTAACATAAGACCAATCAAAGTGCCGAGGTACAATAGTTTATTAAAATAAAAAAAGAAAAAAAGAAAAACTATTCTAGGATTTATTTTTACTCGCTATTGCATTCTCTAAACACTCGTTATTTTTCCTTTCTTTCTCAGTCACTTACTTTCTCTCTCTCTCATATTTCCAGCAATCAAACAATTCTTCGTTTACATATCAATTGCCCAGGCTAAAATTGCAGACACTCTTCGGTACCTAATTTGCAGTCACACGCACTTGCAACCATCCTTTCTTACGATATAATACAGATCTCGTGTGCCTTGTAAATTTGTAAGTTGGAAAAACTTACTTTCGTTTGAAGATGTCTGTTCTTCGAAGAGAGAAGATAGCCGACCAGAGAACTTTTGCTCTTAGGTTTCTTAGCAACTATCGTTTCTGTGAGATGTCGAACGCTTCCAGATGTGTACATTAATTTCCTTGGGCGGCCGACTTTTCGTTTCTTTGACGCTGAGCTGGAGCTCGCAACTGTAGGCGCTGGTGAAGACGTGTCATAGCCAAGCTGCAAACATTTCCGCGAAATCTAATGAGATTCTTGTATTTACCGTAAAAGAAAAGAATCAGCGATTTCTTTTTTGTATCATTTACACTCTAAATGTTACACACCTGTTCGTTCGTCGAAGTTAGAGCTAATACCTTTACCCTTTATGGGAGATATTCGGGTACTGATGAACTATCTTATGAATAAATTACGAATTTCTATGTAAATTAATAATTTTAAAAATACGATAAGGAAAATATAACCTTGACAGGTGTTACGTACCTCTATCTGGTTTTACGAACCAACTATCATATAAAATATTATTCTTTAGGTATCATAGGAAACATTATTCTCTGGATATTTTATAAATTCTTTCATGCGTTATGCGTAATTTCACACATTGATATTTTTTATAAATACATAAACTAACGCGGTATACTTGTGAGATCATTAATTGCTATCCAATCTGTCGGATATCCGGATACCGATATCATTTTAGAAATTTGATGTTCCGAATTGTTTGTAATTTTATGGAAAATTGTAATTTATGTTCACTAAAATGATGGAGGACCGAGAAAAGAATATTCAAGCTTAGCGAAACTTACCATATCAGCAACATCTGCCAGCTTTGAAAAAAGATTTTTCACAAATGGAAATATTGTTACTTAAAGGCGAACGAATTTATTACTGAAAAATGTAACCTTGCAAATATTTTTGTACAAAAACAATTACTAATTTAAAATTAAACATCTAATTTAGAAAAATTATTTTATTATCCATTTATTATTTATCGCTAAAACATAAATTATATTGTAGACATCCGAATAGAATATGAGTAACTGAATATGTAATCTTAATATCTTATCCATCCAAGTATTTCATAAGTATACCGCAAAATTTCATGTATTCTTAAATTTTTAGAAACATGACTAAACAAATTAGGGAAATTTCTTTTATGGGTTATACATTATAATAAACACTTTATTTACATGTTTAGATATTTTCACATATTGCGTGCATTGTGTACATTTTTATAATTTCCAATTTTCTAAAAGAAACATCAATATCCGCAATTTATTCGCAGGTAGTAGCTCTATGAACTTATTCATTGAAGAACAAAAACAAATATGCAACTTATTTGTAAAATACGAATTTTATATTTTATTATTAAATGCCAATTATGAATTATTCATTTTCAGAAACCTTGAGGTTTCTTTCGTCATAAATACTTTACAAATATTTACATAAATTATATGTATAATATGTAATTACGAATAGTAGTATAAAATATAAGTATTTATACATAAAAAAAAAAATTTTGATTATATAACGCGGTATAACCAAAATCTCTATCAAATTTCCAAGAATTTCAACATTACAAATGAGCAATTCTTATTGATAAAAATGTTAATAATAAATTTCTTTTTTATTTCTTTTTCATTTTTCTTTTTTCCTCGTTAAATCTAATGACTGTTAAAATCTAAAAGATCTTATCTTTTAATTTCTTTTTAATTTTTCATTTTGCAATTTTTCTTAAACTTTTTTAAATTTTATTTTTCTTCTTGTCGTTACTTCATTTTTTCGTTCTTCTGTTATTTTTTCTTTTTCTTATATTTCTCGTCTTAGCTTTTCCCGTTTTCTTTTTTATATTTTCAGTTAAATTTTTTACCCGTCCAGTGCTTTTCTCATCGTCGTCCTGTGATGATTTGCTTGAAGGTAATATTGGTGAAGCAACCGGTGCAACGGGCATCGGGATGCTCGGTATACTATCCAACAACTTGATGTGACTTCTCTGCTCATCCAATTTTATCAAATTTACATTACATCTTGGCATAGCTAAAATAGTTGAAGTTACTGGTGGCGAAGCTTCTTCAGGCGGAGATCGTGCTGGAGATTTCTGTGGCGAAGGCGTCTGTTCTAACGTAGAAGGGGATGCAATGGGTCCACGATCAGAACTGCAAGCATGATTAATTCTTCTGTGATGTGCATCGATGACTTAAAATTGACTATTAAATACTTGAATTATTTCAATGGAATTATAATTCAAGAAATTCTATATTAAGAAAACTAACGTGAAAAAAACTACGTTTTTTGAATTATCTCAATCATCATGAAAAGAAAACTTTCATAAAAGAAATCTAATCGCAGAGTAATTTGTTATTCCATTTATCTTAT